ATTTTTACAATTAACGATAATATTAACTCTTCAGTAATACTTTTAAAATCAGAAATATAATTTTTTATGTAACCTTTATGATATATTTTGAGTCTGGAGTAGGTGGAGAATATTGTTGTCAACTATTAGCAACTCTTTATTTCTGAAATTCATTAGAAATTTTGGCTTACAGAACACACACACTCATATATATACATATATTGTGCATGTACCGTATGTACAATTACAGCGATTTCAGTAATATAATGTTCAAAAAATGTGTACATTAATAAAATATACATACATATTAATATTTTATTTAATGAGTGTGTAAGAGGTGATTTTTATCACAATTTAATCATTATTACTTATGTAAAACCGTATCACTCAGTGAGTGATCATTATTTTCAATTGAATAATAAACAACAAAGCTTGATTTAAATTTTTATCCTGAATATGAGGAGGAGACTAAAAAGGCTTTGGATGGGAGATGTCTTTTCTTAGACAACGTAAATAATTGAAACAAGTCTGGGAAGAGATGCTGCGCAGGTATAGTATTCTCGCAAGCCTGACATGTCATTATTTATCGTATTTAAGAACATTTGTATATTGTGGACACAAGTTGATAGGTGCGAATAAATATTTAAACTAAAAAAAAAAGTATTTGTAAATCAGGCATTATTTTTATATTGAAAATCAAATATAATAATTATTAACATGATTTTGTAGAAAAATAGTTATCGATTTCAAAACCTGCTCTTGACTCTGGTATTGATCTTTTTTTTTTTTAGCTTTAATGTTTTATTCACACCTGTCATAATGGTAATGACAACCAGTGAATGTGAGATCGATTGCTAAATATAATGTCATGAAAGGCATGAGGAGGATCAGTGCCCAGCGGCACCTCACTCGGCGTGATATCTACATTAGGCGAGGAGGTCCCTCATCCAGCTCCTCTTCAGTCTTCTACAGACGTTACCTGGCATATTCGTAGTGGCCATGTCATTTATAAGTGTATTAGGATGTTCTTGTAAGTTGTCATGGAATCGTTTGTAATGAGTACGTATGTGTTCGTTAACATATGGAGGTCAGTATGTCAGGTTATGTTGCTAACGTACCAAGGTGCTTTTGTAATTGTTCTGAATGTTTTTGCTTGAAAGATTTGAAGTTTGTTTAAGTGAGTCTTTTTAGCAGTTCCAAATATCTGTGATGCGTAAGTCCAAATAGGTTTTAGTAAGTAATTCTATGTGTTCAATTTCTGTCTAAGTTTTAGTTTTGAATTTTTCGAAAGAAGTGAACTCAGAATTCTTAATCTTTGATTTAACGTTTTTCGTTTTTTGATTATATGTGGGCCCCACGTCATTTTTCCGTCAAATGTCAGACCAAGGTAGTGAACGGTGTCTGTCTGTGGAATCTGTGTATCGTCAAGGAAAACTGGAGGGCATGTTTCATGTCGAAGCGTAAATGTAATGTGCTGTGATTTGTCTTGATTTAGTCGGATTTTCCAAATTTTGAACCAGTCACGTAATCTTGTTAAATACTGGTATTGATCTAAGGCAACGAATTTCATTTTAATCGCCCACCGTCCCGCTATGTGTGAATCAGCAACTTGGTCTAACAGTGGTTTATTTTATATGGGAAAGGTGACTCATTTTTTTCTATATACTTAGACCAACTCCACTTAACATATCATTTATATGTCCAATCACTCTGTAACAGTTTATGTTTATTTTATGACAAGCGTTGGAATATTACTCGCCTTCATTTTGTTATTTAAACTTGATGATTTGACATGTATGTTTGAAAAAAATACTAATCATTAACACTTTTTTTGGCCATCTCATACTGAAAATTTTGTTAGATAGCAAATTCATAGTTTTTGAATCGCCAAAAAATAGAAGTTTGCAACACACAAAGATTGTTTTATCGTTGTCATTCATTTTCAAAGCTATTAGACATGATATAGAATTTATTAAACAGTTTTGAATAGCAATTCTCTGCTAATACAGTTCAACTTAAAATCGAATTTCAATTCTTGATACTAATCTAATATGATAGATTTGAAAGTGTTAAGCGAAAATTGTCTTTCGTATCTCAACGTAACTTTCAACATGATATTTTCGTGAAAATAAGTTTAAGAGAAATAACTGCGATGAAACGGTCGACATTAATAACTAGATATAGAATTTTGTATTAGAGCCTGAGTACGCTCTCATACAAAGCGTAAACGCGTACAAAATGTAAACGTCAATGACTTTAATTTTTGTCAAAATATAAAATAACAACACACACAAAAAAAATAATAATTAAGGGTTAAATATTTTCAAAAAGATCAGCCATTTTAAGAAGCATGTAAAAAGATTTAATCTATGTTGTTTGTAGAATGAATCTAAATTATATTAAAACATAGTACAAATCAAAATTATTTAAAATCTAAATTGGCTACAAAAATTTGTTAATCACTCAATCTTTCTTTGACTTAGTAAAAATGTAATAAGACTTTTCATAGTTAATACAGGATATACAGGATAAAAAAGAGAATAAATTAATTAATAAGAATATTAATTTAAAAAAAGAAAAACAAAAGCAAAACGTAATTAAATAAATTGTTAAGTATATACAAGTAAACTGGTAAATTGGTGTCATTAAAATCTACGGAGAAGTTGTTGGACTGGCAGATCCCTCCTAAATGATGGTAAATTGGAAGGTATTTAACAGTTAATTAGGAGGGATCTGCAAATTCAGATGGGAGGGTAAACTGGACCCTCCCTACTTTTTCCTCTTTACTCCTCAACTGTCACCATCAGTTCTGGTTTGGTTTTCAGGAGAAATAATCAATGGTTGGTAATTTATTTTATTTTATTACCATAAATTCAAAAATAAATCTGAACATCTGCGATGTATTAGCTGAACCTCGCGGTCACATCCATGGTATAATTAGTCTATATGATTAATTTAAAATTATTCATACAAAAATGAATGAAAATAATTTTCATGCACGTTATGATTACTCGACCAAGTACATTTTTTATGCATGCATTTATTTTGAATTGAATCAATTTTTAATCTGTCATTTCAACTGCTAGAGTAAAGGTTTTACATAAATCATATATATTTTTTAAATACTTTCATTTAAAAACTCTGTTTCCTTCTTTAAAAAAACTATCTATAAATTAAGTTATTCTCAGCTATTCAGACATATGACATATTAGAACCCAGTAATTCATTTATTATAAATTATAACTCTAATTTATGCCCAATTACGGTTTATTTCTCATTTAACGGAACTAGTTTTTATGAACTCTAAAAGAAATAAAAATTGAACTTTTATCATAAACCTAGAACTGTATTACAAAAATATTTCAAAGAACTGTTATTTTAAACAAATACTTAAACAGAAAAACAGAAACTGTTAAAATGAAACTTTTATGAGTTCCATTAAAGTTTCAACTGCTGATTAAAATTATTTGAAATACGTAATTCGTATTTTTTTTTTAAATGAAGTGGAACATAAAACGATTTTTCTTCTGATGAAGATTAATAGTATATCCTTTTTGATCAATTTTATTCTTTTCTTCCTTCCTATTGAAAACACTACAAAGGTTTGACGTTTTAAACTCTATGGATTTCATAGAATAATTTAACACTTACATACAAAAATTTTACCAGTGTTAAGATAGTAATGTTTTACATTTAAAATTAACTAAAAATATAATTATGTTTAAACCATAACCATTATTAATAATACTGTGCGGTTTTACTCCCGGTTAATCTTAAGTATACTTAACAATTTAAAAAAAAATCAATACATGACCAAGTGTATTCGAGTTTATGAGGAAATAAAAAAAGATTTTTTACGATCACAAAAAAAATTTGGCAGAAAATTTCTTCAGTTAAATGACTTTATAGCACGGTTTTACGAACATAGTTTGTATTAAACTATTTACATATAAATTTTAAAGAATTTGAAAAAGCATAAACTACATTTTCAGTTGTTTCTCCTTATAAATATATACTGTACAAATAATATTTCTCCTTATACAGTTTTTTTTCGGAACCTGATCTAGTTAACGCTACATATGACTATTCGTGGGAATATCGACTATGCTAAAAGTTACACCCCAAGCCTTACTCAGCAATAGAAAAAAAAAATACTTGCTGAAAGCTATGCTACCTTTATTGTCGACAGTTTGTAGAGCGAAGTTGTTTTCGGTCACTTTCGCGTAAAAATCGGTAGGTTATTATTATATTTCTGAATGTTTTGGTGATCATGAATAAGTTTTAGTTGAAATTTGGTAAATGTTAGCTCATTAGTTTGCAAACAGTTATCAATTACAAACCAAAAACATGCTGCCATATGTATCCAAACTACGGTGAAGTTTCTTTGATTAGATAGTAAAGAGCTAAATTTCACATTTTAAAAATGTGAAATTTAGCAAATTACTACAAATTTATTGCATAGTTAAAATGTCATTTATAGAACAAGATTCTTTTTTTCATCTGAATCCACGATCCCCTGGACTCGGTTGGAGGTTTCACCGCGCACTCCCGCTATACTATCGCTCTGTGACAAAACGCCGTGTCTCAAACCTCGTATGTCCTCGTATGCTTGCTCCATGAAAACTCGTATTTCCTACGAATACAATTGTAGGCCCAATGTAATTGTTTTTCATTTTTAGTAAAATTAGGGCTTGATTATTCATATATTCATCTATTTTAAAGCCTATTTGCTTTTTACATTCACTAACCTATATATGAAATACCTGGTCTTGTCATACAGATTACATTGTTACAAGAAAATATAAACCAATTGCGACAGAAAAGTTATTTTTTTCAAAACTCTATTATAATAAAATGTATATCTATAGAGAGTAAAATAACAAAGAAATTACTCAAAATGTCCCCCTTTTGCCATAACACAGGCATTTAATCTCCGTGATCAGTCATCAATAGCAGCACGCAGCACTTCTTGGTGAAAGCGCTGAACTGCTCGGACCATGGATTGTTGGAGGTTTTCCAAGTTAGGGTGTTCTCTGTGGTATGCCATCATCTCTAGTTCGGATCAAAACCGATAATCTAGTGGGTTGGATCAGGACTTCCTGAGGGCCAATACGAGGCAGAGATGATCTTATGCAGCCATTGCTGAGTTGACTAGGCCATGTGAGCTGGATCCAAATCCTCCAAGAAAACCCAATGAGTTCCAGCAAAGAGAGTTTGCCCATCATTTAGGGGCTAGACAACAGGTTCCAAAATATCGTCCTGATAGTTTAAAACGGCTGATTAAACTAATTTTTCACAAAAATGGAGCTTTGTGGAACCATCAAAGGGAACTTCCCACCAAACCATCATTTAGGAAGGGTGATGACCTCTTTCGACTCTTCCAACGAGCTTCTTTAGAGCTGTGAGCGTACATACGACCATTTTGGACGTTAAACTTTTCTTAAATTGTAAAAATTTCCTCATCGCTAAACAAAATCTTTCGATGAAGACCATTGGTGTAACGGCCAATGAGCACTTTGCAAGTATCCTCTCAATTTTTTTAGAGAAGTGGTAGCCTTTCTTTCAATTCAAAATGATGTATCCGAAGAAGAAATGATGTCAAATGAGGAAGTTGCCTCTAGTTTATTTCAATTTCAGAGTATCCAACATTATTTTATTTGAATCTAGGGATCAAATATAACGGGTGGTTATATATTGAACCTAACCCGAACATATTCTTTCAAGCATTTGATCCACCTCAATTGAGTATTTTACAGCATTGTTACTATCTGATTTTAGGTTATTGTCATTTGATTTTGACACTATATTTTTCCCTCTTCTACTTTCTAGCACGGTGTTGGGTTAGCAACAATATTGAATAACAGCTCATTAGAAAGAAGACAAAATGCTGAACATTACCCAGTCTTACAGTATAAAGATCCGATTTTTAGTATCTGAAATATATATATATATTTTTTTTTTATTTTAATGAAATTTACAACTGTATTACATAAAAAATACAACAAGTAAATGTGAAATTGGTAACATGACATGTATAAGACGAAGAGGAACTACCCATTGGTAGAACTCAAATTATAGTTCTATATTAGAAGATCCCGAGGCCATCTTCTTTTCAGATGCCTCGGAGGATTATTAGGGATCGAGGAGGAAGCAAGGTTAGAAACAAGAAGGTTTGGATGGTTCTGCAGTTTGTTATGGAAGGATAGGTATCTGGATTGGACCAAATCGGAAACATATGGAACATTAAGGTCTTTATGGATGGTTTTGTTTGTGACAAAGTAAGGAGCGTTGAGGATTTTACGAAGGATTTTGGATTGTAAGGATTGGATACGAGAGGAATTCGATGGTTTAGTGGAGCCCCAGAGCTCAATTCCGTCCAAATAGGTCTTATTATTGTCATATATACGAGTCGTTTGTAATTGATTGAAAGCTTAGAGCGTTTGTCTAGTAAGTGTTAGAGTAGTCGGAAACGTCGAGCGGTTTCTTGTCGTTTCAGTCTTGTATGAGGATTCCATGTGAGTCGTTTGTCGAGGTGGAGTCCTAGGTAACGGATTTGTTCAACTGGGATAAGTGGGGAATTGTTAAAGAATACTGTAGGACAGGAGTTCATAGGTTTGCGACGCAGGGTAAAGGTAATTTGATGGGATTTATTGGAGTTTATTTTAATCCTCCAGTTTTGACACCATTCTTCAAGACTTGTGATGTGTGATTGGAGAGTTTGGGAATTTGATGGATCGTTGTTAACTGATAGAATACAAGTGTCATCGGCATAGGTGGTGATGACAGTGTTGGGATGGGTTGAAATGTCAGATGTATAAACTGTGTAAAGGATAGGACCTAGGATACTACCCTGAGGAACACCAGCAAACTGAGATAAAAGAGATGAACAGGCATTTTTGTGATTTACTTTGAAGGATCTATCACTAAGGTAGGAACGGATAATCAGGAAGTATATAGGTGGTAGGAATTTACGGAGTTTGTACTTCAGTCCCGTATGCCAGACTCTATCAAACGCCTGTTCAACGTCGAGAAAGACTCCCGTGCAGTACGTTCCGCGCTCCAATGCAGAGGAAACCACGTCTACCACACAATGACATTGCTGAATAGTGGAGTGAGATGTACGGAATCCAAATTGGTGATCTGGGATTATGTTATTAGAATCTAGGATGGGAACAGGGCTGAAATATTTTAACCCATATATTAAACCAACCCAGTTAAAATTTGGTTTTCGACACACTTTTTTTCCTTGTCGCCTCCCTAAAACGGCGTCGCGTTAAGATACAATTTTGAATTATAGCTTATTACAGAGAGGATAAAATGCTGAACTATTTCCTCAGATACAGTATGCAGACCCGATTTTTATAATCTGAGATATTTTTAACTATATGTAAAAACATTCCAGATAGTTGACTATAGCCAACTTTGCCTGAGCGTTAAAATCTGATGGATCAATCTAATTTACTCTCCACGAAAACGCGCCTAAAGAAGTTTTCATTTCAAAAAATGATTCTGAAGATGGGGATATAAATGTAAAAAAAAAAAAGAGTAAATGTAATGTAACGAAACGTAAACATGATAATCGAAATGAATTGAACAGTAAAGAAGAAAACAGACAATTTTTGAATGCCTAACCTTACAAAAACTTAAAACTTACAACCTATAAAATTTGAAAATACAATTATTTTCGAGTTTTTCTTTTTTTTTTTTAATGTAAACTACTTCGATTATATAGAATAGAATAGAAATAGAAAATTAAACTTTATTCTGGGACTAAGTCCCTTTAGAATAACAATGATGAGTTAATACAAAGTAAAGTTATATACTATGAAATCATGATAAAACTAACTATTATAAACAAAATCTGGATATGACTTGAATTTCACTGAAATAATGACGTTATTATGAAATAACATTGCTATTTAATGAATTATATTTTAAAGAAATAGATTCTATAGGTAAAATATACAAAATCTTATGAGGATTATTTTTTCCAAACGTTGTATGACGCATCCTTTAACAATAAAAATAAGTTATTATATCGGCGATACAAACGCAAACTATCGAATCTGAAAATCTCCATTCTAATATCATTATCAATTCAGCCCAAACAACAAGGGTGTTTTAATTTCTATTCTAATACGTAATTTTATGAATATTTAAAGATTTTTAATCCACTGTTTTAAAATATTTAACTACAATTACAATCGCTAAAATACAGGATTGAAAAATGGCAATTGCTCATATCCGATAGTTAGGATGTATATCGACGATATACTATAGAAGAACGTGCATCTTTTTGTTTGGATGTTATAACAATAATTATTATAATTCACCGCAAAAATATTTAAATGTTATGTATAATAATATCTGTCCTAAGCGGTCCTAAGCATCGAGAAACGTCAGCTGAAATGAATGGTTATATGATCGAAAAAAAGAGCTGTTATCAACAGAACTGCTTAATGCTTTTGAAAAAGGCAAATTCCTTCACATTTAGATAATTTATTAAACTTACTTATGGTTATTTAGACAACTTACAACAATCGAATTTACATGTTCTAATAAATATTCGTAGCTTTAAATGGTGTGTGCTGATGAAACAAACCAAAAGCACATTGATTTAGATCAGTACCAACTTTGAGTTAAGAAACCTATAAATTAGTTCTATTTGCCCCCCAAAAAATAGTCATCTTTACGTATACGAGAACATAACTTTATAAATCATCATCATTTACAACTTAATTGTCAAAAACTAAATTGACTTTTATTTCTACGTACATCATTTTTCTTAATATATCAATTACACTTTTGAGGATAAATTTATTTTAATCTTACATCACAAAAAAACAGCTATAGCTATTAGCAATTAGAAATCGTAAACCGGAGTTACATTGATAACATGGCTCTGTACAAGAGTTTATTTTAAATATGAAATTAACTGGCAGGCTAAAACAATTTGTATTTTCACTTTTTTTAAAAGCTAATACTAAGCAGTTTTAATTTTTTTTTTTATATATCTTTTTATAGAGAAATAATACATTTTGCCACACTTAAGGGCACTCAGTACTTAAGTTGAATTTATTGTAGAAAAAAATTGAATTAATAATAATAAAATACAATACGAATAAACCAGACAAATATGAATTTTCAACAAAGTCAGGGAATAAATATAAAATAACTATCTAAATCTCTCTCTCATCTTATGAAAAAAAAAAAAAGGCATTCCGTTTGTGTACACAATAAACCCCTTCGATCAAACCATCAAAAAGAATCAAAAGAAACAAGACTACAACGGGATCGTGAACATAAAAAATGAATCAAAAGGCTTTCAACAAAAAAGGGAAAGACAGACATAACCCAACTCCGTCATAAGATTTTAATTGCCAATTCCAAAAGACAATAGAAAACTGAGTCATACTTTGATATACTGAAGATTATAGTACAAGTTTATTTATTTTTAAAATAATTTAATAATGAATATGTTACATATCTATATATAATATGCACTATATATGTATAATAAAAAGCTCGCTTTCGTAACCGTCGGTATGACAACTTCGAATCCAAGAACCACGCCCACTGAAGACACTTTTTACTAATTGTAAATGATGACCTATAGTTGAAAAATATATTGTTGTTTTTTTACAAATTGTGTGGTAACATATAAAAAAATATTATAATAATGCATGAATACATGAAACATTATTGAATTTAATAGCCGTACATATCAATACTCGTATTGCAATTACGAATCTGCTCTCCGAAAATATTAACAAGAATTGAGACTTCAGTCTCTATTCAGTGTAGCTTACCACACTTTATTGGTTATAATTTATTTTAAGAAGAGTTGTTTTGTTTTTTGGTTATAATGTATTTTTAAAACCAATAATATGTTTATTTAATTTAATTATATTTCTACAGCTATTATTTCCAATGGTTCTTACTGAAACGGTTAAAAATAAATTTCCAGGGATTAAAAATTTTCAAGTGAACAGCCTGCGGGTTAGTGTTATAATAAAATATTGAAAATATTGATCAATGCAATATAATGTTATTGATAATCCCCTAACCACTGAAAATAATTATGAACATCAGGGAAACACATATAATTTTTTTTTTAATTTATTTTGACTGTGAATTAATATTATTAAAAATCTTACTTCTATAGTTTATTAGTGATTTTAAGTTATTATAGATTTTCAAATCTGTACAACCTACTGAAAATGTT